TTGGAAAGAAGTATTTAACAGACATTTTTATAATATTCTGTAACACTTTCATTTAACTAGACAATACACAATGCGGTCGGTTATGTGCTGACCACATCAGATTTTTTTTTTTGTATTTCTTCATACTTTTCAAATTGAATTCCGTGAATTATTTTACAAAAAAACAAAATAGCCTAAATAAATTGTTTTTTTTTTTTATTAAATTGAAAAGTTTTCCGAGTTTTTGTTTTATTTTTTGTATTTATTGTTTTACAATTGCGTAAAACGCATTTCAAAAATGGCGTAATAGAAATACAGTTAACTTAAAATTATGATTTTACGTCCAAACTATGACTGCAAACTATATAACATGTACGCAGGTTTATACTTACATATTACATACACATATACATGAATTTATTTCATAAAGAATTGATCAACAACTCAATGTAAAGCGGAATGATGTTACATGAACAACAATTTTATGAGTTATTCAGTGTTATTTAAAAACACTACTATACTATTAAAATAATGTTAAACCAAATGTAATAGAAACGTAAATAGCTATAAATTCAAGGTTGAATTTTTATTTTAATTTTGTTTTCAACTTTTAAGTGCAAAATGGTCAATATTCAATTAAGTTCAGCATACGTATATGCCTTTATAGTTAGAGAATTGCTCAAGAAAAATCGCACAATTTTAATTGTAATAATTTTATAAACACCTTTGTTTTTTAAACCGATTTCTAATTAATTATGAAAAAAACGAATATTTACTTAAAATTTAAGATTAATTTTTGAAATTTCGTAAATATAAATTAAAGAATACATGAAAATATACCAGAACAAATAAATTTTTAAAGCAAAATTTTAATTAGAGATTTACTCTATACTCGTAAATATTTATGAGTCCGATATTCTCAAATATTATTTCGATATTCTCTCATATAGGAATGAAAACTTAGCAGATGCTTTACAGGATAGATAACAAAACAATGCTAAAATGCACAAAGAATACAAATTTTATTGATCCCACTAAAAATTAAATACACAATGTCAGTATATGGCCCATCTGCACAAAATCGATAGCCAATTTCTCGCCTTTGACTATAACAAATTAAAACAATTTTTTGTTCATCACTTAACATGTAAATATTATACAACCGAAGGCTTGACATATTTTCGTTTAGCTCATAAAATTGATAAATTGAGCAAATGCGCTTAGTTTTTCTCAATATGACAATATGCGACAATATATTTTGATAGTACGACAATATACGACAATATTTATTGAAATTTTGATAGTAAAAAGTTATTTTCAGTAAGCAATTATAATATTTTTATTGAAATATTTTTGTATAACATTTGTTTGTTTGCTATCAAGTATCCCAAACACTATTTAAATATACTTTTTGACTCTGTACTTCTCGTACATTATAAATTTCATATATTTCTGAATATCATGAAATCCAGTAATGCCAATTAGTGAACCAGCAATTTCTTTTCGTTTTTGCAAATTCATTTCACACGCTATTATTCATTAATTGATTTTTAATCAAGAAAAAATCAATAAATTTCATTTAATATTCAAAAAAAATTTTTTTTTTAATATTAAAAGTTACAAATTTTAAGAGAAAGCATGACAAAAAAAAATTTATCTTTAATTCACTTTCAAAATTACAAATTCTCTTATTGTTATTCAATCATTCGTATACAAATCATAATTTCTTTAATTGATTATCTTTTATATGCGGTATTTTAAACTTGAAAGAAGACAAAAGATTTCTAGGCAGTTTAGTGTACTAGTACTTATGGGTAAAGTAAAGATTTTCAATTGAAAAATTTATTTAATAAAATAGAGGAAATATTGTACTTATAGGGAAGATGATATGAAATGAGGTGGGAAACTTTGAAACTTCAGAATCGTGTCGTGTGTCCGGGAACAGTTGTTATTTTATATTCTTCATTTAGATGGTTTAAAATATTTCTTCCAATATTAACTTTTGTTTATTTTATCTCATTTTAACCGCATTTCATATCTAATGAGTCTATTTGAAATCAAAGTTTTGGAAGCGGGCTAATTGCTATTAAAATTTAAATTGGTCAAATAACTATAAAAAAATATGTTATTATTTCTGTTCAAATGTCTTAAATAAAATAAAAACTGTTTATAACCTTTCGGCACAAAAAGGTCTATTCTCGTTGATAAATATGAAATTCTTGGAATCTTTGTAGGAATCCTTATAGTAGGGTGGTAACTGACACAGCATTTTATTGATCGCAGCTTGTGTCTTTGATCTATGACGGCTCCCTTATTAAGGGCAATTCCCAAAAAACTTCAGTGATTTTAGATCAGTACAAGACTAAATTTGGGTAGAATTTCTTCCTAACATTTCTCCTTAACTATTCCTTTCCTACTCGCATTGATGTTTTGCTTACTATAGCTAATAGATTCTTATTTCGGCTCAAAAATATTCTTTGTTGAGTTTTTTTCCTTTTATTATATGACAAGGTACAAAACACTTGTCTTTAGCAATCATATCATACCAAAAAAAGGTCGAAATCACTTAAAATTAATAAAGATTACACATTTTAAAAAAAAGTTGTACCATACTTGCAAAATTGTTCCAATTACTTTTCAACATTTATAACAATTAGAACATTATTATAGTTTTACGTCTTAAGTTAAACCTCTACAACTTGTTTTAATATTTTTTCTTCAAAAAATTTTATTTATTTTTTATATAGTCCAACTTTTTGTGGTCAACTTTTTTTTTTAAAGAGAAATGTGAAAGCTAAATATTTTTATTGCTTTCCGGTATTGTTGTGGTTTAAATTATAAATGGAATTTATTTAATTGGTCAAATTATTTTTTATTTGTTTTCTAGACCTTTGCCATTATCAAAAAGCGAAAAAAATTATAAAACAAAAATATGTATGTAGTTCAAAAAATAATTAATAAAACACAAAAAAATAATAATAATAATAAAATTAATTAAGTAAATCACATGTAAGGTATAATGGTAATGATCTACAAGACAAAACACAAAATAGCACAGAAAAATATAAAATAAAGAAAAATATGAAATTTATTAACTTACAATTCGTAACCCTTATTAAAATTACAAAAAGAAAAAAAAATTAAAGTAAAAATGTGAGGTTCATTGCTACCCATGTAACATTTTCTCAAGTACGTCTATATTACAAGTTTTAAACTCTGTAGAATGACCTTTTTCCCCGTTTTCGTAAATTCAAATACGCAGAAAATTTGGCAAAGAGTTTACAAAAAATTGGCATTCTCGAAATTTTATTACAGCTTTCTTTTTTTTTTACGATATTTCATTTGACAGCTACTTGACAGCCAGTGTATATTGAAGCTTCATCCATAAAAGAGAATTGTGCATATTTTAAATTTATGAACAACGAGATATGGTTGGTTCATTTTGAAACATCAAAGTTAAATGCCAGATTCAACCTTTCAATAACTGTTACAATCTCCAAGTGAGGCTGGACACTTACGGAGACAGGGATAAAAGATCTTATCCTTCACATTCTTCCTGCTCCTCTTACATTTCACTTTATCAGTATTTTGGCATCCATAACCGAATGACCGAATACAACTGTCACCACAGTAAATCTAGGGACATTTTAACGAGAAGCTTCGTTTCTTGTAATTTGCAAAGGTAATCCGGATCCCCCTGAACTGCTTTTAAATCTTTTCTATTATGCATGCCGATTTTTTTTTTTTAAATTTTTGTGAACGAAGTTTCTGTTCCGGAAGAAAGCCCTCTTATTTCATATTTTTATAATTATCAAATGTCAATTTAAATGACAAGTTTTTTTATTAATAATATTTTTGATCCATATTTTTTTTTACCGGTATATTTAGTTTTTTTCTTTTCAACAATACACCTTGCAATATATTGTATAGCAATTCATATAGTCTTGAGACTGAAAAGTACATAAAAAGGAAAAAAATAAGTACAATGAAAAACTTTTAAAGAAGAAATTAAATGTTAAAAAAAACAAGACTTGGTAAAACAAGAAACCGAAAAAACAAAAAATTTAAAAAAGTAGTTACAATACAACAAGAAGAGAAAATCAAACGAAAAAAATAATAAAATTTCGTGCAGATATAAAATATCGTAAGTATACCACTAACATTACCCTCTTTAAATTATAGTTGAATATTTATTCATACTTAGGCGTTATATACGTTTGCACTTGTATAACAAAATAAAAAATTTCCGAATTTTAATTTAAAATGTAAAAAATAAATTTTTTTTTTAAATAAAGGCACACACAAAACTCAACACGAATAGCCGAAAAATCAAGAAAATCGAGACCTCATTTTTGAAACATTGCGATTTTTTTTTTACTTTTTGTTCTTTATATTTTTATGTAGCGTGTGTTATCTACAGCAACATTACCTGAAATACAAGTAGAAAACTAAAGCAAAACTATATACTAAGAAAAAATGTCTACTGTTAAAAAAAAATCTGCACGGTCTGCTGATTCATGATTATGCAAAAGAAATCTACAAAAAAAAAAGAAAATTTACCAAAAAACAAAAAACCAAGAAAATTAAATTAAAAGAAACAACGCCATCTATATCTCGGTAAGTTTGTAACAAAGTAAAGTAAACAAAACATGTAACGCAACAACAACAAACAAAACAACAACAATTAAACTACTTTAACATTGTAGTAACACTCTCTTAAGATGAGAGTGAAGAGTAAAACTATTTTTATTAAAGTTTTTTTCAACACAAACACCATTATATACCTGTAATATGCACATACACACATAAGCAATTTAATTTTTGATCATTTTCGTATTTAAAATGTAAAATTTCAAGAGCTTTTCATCTTCTTGATCATAAAAAAAAATAAAAACAAAATGAAAAAAAAAAATGGAAAAAAAAAAAGAAAATCAAAAGCCAATCTTTAACAACTTTTCTTCTTCTGACTTACTATATAGGCAGTAAACTTGTTTCAAACTATAGTCAGTTGTGAATTTAACTACGCTCGAAACACTTCCTTCTTAAGTCGTACAAAAGTTTCCTTGTACTCGGAAAAAATTAAATCTTTTCAATTTTTGAACTATAATATCTACGGTACTTTAAAAATTTTCTCAAACAAATACAGGGTCTACTTGACTAAATCAACTTCAGTTGCATAAATTTGCCGTTTTGTTTGTGGATTATTTAATTATTTTATAATAAATTTTATATTTATTTTATATTTAATAAAACTAAATTAAAGGTAAGAAAAAAAATTAAAATAAAAAAAAAAATTGTAAAATTTTGAAAAATTTTGCTAGTTCGAATTTTTTTTTCTTAAATAATTGTGCTTTTAAATAATTGCGTGCACACATATATTTAACTATTAATTAAACTAGCAATTTTTAACTATTAATTAAAACAAAAGTGATTTTAAAGTAAAAAGTCTTGTTTCAAATTTATTTTTCAATATTTTAACTATAACAACTTCTGAGTTATTCAGGCTAAAGAGAAAAAAACCACGAAGATTTCGAAAACAAATAGACAATTGCTAGGATAAAGTGTTATAAATTTAAGGTGCTTTGAAAATGTCGTAAAATTTTTTATAAAAATTTTTGTTGTAATTTAAATTGTTATACATTTTATTATTCATATTGGATATCATTATATTCCATTAAAATACAACATGATTCGAAATAAGGGATTACACTAAAAATCGTAGTCAAAAATCAAAAAATTTCCTATGTGGCGTTTAATATATTTTTTATCAACTTCTTACTTATAATTGTATAACAGTTATAATTTGAGTAATAAATATATTGTTTAATTTGTTTTATGTATAAATACAAATCCCTGTTCAGCTATCATTAAAAAATATTCTAACCAACCGCAATTATAATTTAAAAAAAAAAAAAATTCAATTAAAAATTAAAAATTGCAAAATATTCTTATGCACAATTTCAAGAAGTTTGAATATTAATATAGGAAGTCGTACGCAAGCAATAGCGTTTTTAATAATTTTGTTTTAAAAAGATATCTAAATATATATAAATTTATACGAGTACATAATATGCTTGTCATAAGTTCCGCTTTTTTATATTGCAAATATCGCAATATTCTTCAACATTCTTTTATATAATACAAAAAAAATTGGGTAAATGAACTTTTAAATGTTCATAAAATTGTGCACATGTTATATACTTAGATTTAAATAAGTATAAAATATGTACATATACATATATGCATATACTCATACAAATGTGTTATACATGTTTATAAAAGTTAAAAATTTTGTATGTACTCCTTTGTATATATACAAGTAAATATTAAATAGTTTCTTTTAACCATAAATGAAAATATTGTGACATACATTTAAAAAAAAGCACATAGCTGCACAATTATACAAGCAATCAAACCGCAACCATAAAGTAAAATAAAACTTGAAATTGGTTATATAATTTGATTTTTAAGATTTCGGATATGTTTGAACGATCTAGCATTTAAAACGAGTATAATGAATTGCGATATTTTAAATGCGAATACAAAAAAAAATTTATTTTGGAAAATTAAAAATAAAAGCCTCTAATTGAGTTTTTCGACTTTAATCATTTTTGTATCTAATTTGCACATTAAAACGGAAAAAATCCATTAGCCCAAATAAAATTTTTTTTTGGTAAAAATTAAAATCACTTGATATCGTGAAATTTTTGCGGAAATTTTTCTTTTTTTTTTTCGTTTAATCTCAGTTCACCGCTTTCTTATTTCAGAAAATGCTTAATTATATTAAAATAAATATTTTTTTTAAATCTGAGTTTTTACTTTTACTTTATAATTGTGATTATTTGTTACATCAGATTCGAAAAAGCTTGTGAAAATATGAAAAGGTTGTGAAAAGGAGAATTTAATAAAAGAAAGAAAAACGATTTTAGTGTAAATTTTTTACTCATCTCAAATATTTTGTTAATCTCAATGATTTTTTAGTTCTTATTTAAAGCTTAGGAAAAGACCGAAATATTCTTACAATAAATAAACAATGAGGAGTTTTCCACAGTCTTGGAAAATCTCAAATCATAATTTTCGAAATCAAATTCATTTTTTTGAGGTTATTTTTAAGATACCGTAAAAATGACCGTAAAAATAAAAAACCGTAAAAATTCAATTAAAGCAATAGAAATTTCATATTTTCTGACTCTTTTTTTTTCTCTAAATCATATGTGACCGGGACCCATCCTACAACTTGAACCTCGAAATATGTGCTAAATTTTGAGAAATTTAAGATCGAAGGATCATCCTATAACTTGATCCTCGAAATATGTGCTAAATTTTGAGAAATTTAAGAACGAAGGATATACTTTGTGTACGCAATTATAGCTCTAAGCGTATTATAAAAATTGCTTATGAAAATTATTCGGTACAATATAAAGTTACTCTTTTTTTTTATATTTAAATAATTTTGAAAATAATAGGTTAACACTAAATGTAAAATCTGCGCCTTAAGTATTTTTCAAAGTTTCTTAAAAAATTTTCAATAATATTGAGAATTTTTGAAATCTACGTAATAAAAAATTTTTTGAAAAAAGTGCTTATTAGTTTCACTCTGTCCGTCCGTCCGTCCGTCCGTCCGTCCGTCCGTCCGTCCGTCCGTCCGTCCGTCCGTCCGTCCGTCCGTGTGTCTGTTTACAAAACTTCTACACCCTTGAAGATAGAAAGCTAAAATTTAACACGTACATAGATCTTCACTAGAAACTTATTTTCGTAGAACAAAATTTTTACCTATCTCCCCCCCTCTAGAAGTTATACCCCCTCAAAACCCTAAAAATGGCCTTTTTTAAATATTTGTTGCAATGAAACCATAAGCATTTTTGAAATTTTGCAAAGGCAGAAAGGCAGCGGCTTGATTCCCCTAGCGAGGTATACTATAGTTAAACTTTAGAAAAACAAAATGGCCGTTGAAATTTACCGTTATCTAAAGTCCTTTTTTTCCAAATTTTTGATGTCGTTTTTCTTCTAGATCCTATATTCTAGAACTTTGAAATTTTAGGGGCTCTTAGACATTAACAAATAGTTCATTTCGTTAGAAGAAATTTTTTTTCCATCTCCACCCCCTCTCAAGTTATCACCTCTTGAAATTCGTAAAATTTGAATTTTTGACACCCTATATTTCCGAAACCGCAAGCTTTTCCAAATTTTTATAAACTCAAAAAGCTAACGGTAAATTCCATGACACTAAAAAATATAATTATTTTTCTTAACTCACACAATTAACCCTTAAAATCGAGCATTATGTTAACCCCTTTTTATGTTAATTTTTGCTTTATTTCAAAGACTGCATATATGCGTCATCCTAAATATATGCAATCCTAGAAATAGTTTTGTATATGAATGAAAATAATTTTTATAGTGTGATAGGTATACATAGACTGTATTTAAAAGCAGAATTTTCACTTGTTGAAGGGAAAAGTGCTACAATACAAACCATTGGTTTGACCCAACTTTATTTTACATTTTTTTTACATAACATTAACAGAATAACAACTTACATTTCTGCATAATTTCGAGATCATAAAAATTACAACAACTCGATGAAAAATCGTATGTAATCATACCATTAAATATAAAAGCTTTCCATTTTCATTTCACTTAATTTGTTTTTCAATGATCTTTTGATGATGCTAAGAAGACAAACCCAAATTTTAAAGTCTTGCACTTAAAAAAAAAAATGAATATAAAAAACGAAAACGGGAAACACAAAATAATTTTTACTTTTACGTTTTTTTTATAAAAATTTTAAGTTTTACCACTTGAATGAACTTTAATTCATTTGTTTTGCTTTCAATATTGCTTTTAATCCAACAACAAGAAATTAATTTTAATATCTCAAAGCAAAGAAATATCAAATAAAAAAGCAAAAACAAATCTAAGATTAAAAGTTTTTTGACCCAAACAATATTAGTCTTAATCATACTTAATCAGTATGATAAAATGTTTACTTTTTTATACAAAAAAACAAATTTGCATATATCAAAGCATTCTTCAACTGAATAACTTGATACTTACAAAAAACATATATATTTAATTCACATTGATCCCGTCTGGTTAATGGATTTTTATTAATTTGCATATTTTGTTCACGTTTGGTAACTTTGCGTGATCTTTATTTCCGACTATTACTCGTAAATTGCAGATGAAAATCAAGAATATAAGTTTTGCTATTTTAAGATTTCCAATCTTTTTCAAGCCCATAAAAAACAAAGAATTTTTAATTTGGTAACGAACTATGAAATGAACACACACAAATAATAAATAAACGATATCAGAAAATAAGATAATAAAGACTAAATAAGAGCCAAATATGAGGTTAAAGCCTTGTTACTTTTAGTATTAATTTTTTTTTTCATTTTATTTTTTTTTTTTTCAAAGTTGTAAGGTTCCAGACATATTAGAAAGTTTGATATTAACCTTGACCATGAGATTTGAATATGATGATTAATTTGCGGAGGGTGTGTTTAACTTATACCATTCAATATATATTGCAAATCCACTTCCTATAAAAAAGTATTTTAAAAAACAAAGGTTGAATTGATCTTCACTTTATCAGCCTTGAAATTTTAAAGGCAAAAAATAAATTTAGGATGTGCAACAAAATAATATCTAAATGTTTATTAAAACTAGGAAAATCGATAAATATTCAGTAAGCTCCATTCAGCCGAGAATTTTTTAATATAGACCTCACTTTTGTACAAGTACTCATATTATTACTAATTTCAATTCGATTTAATTTTATATTTAATTTTCTTCCAATAATAATCCATTTGGCCTAATTTAGCTTGTAAATATATACACTAAATATAGTTTATAAACACCCCTGCTTTAATAAAATTTGGCAACTCTATAAAAAAATTAATTTACAACAACACTTCACTTATTCGCGCGTATATTAATAATATTTTAATATCATTTATGTTCATTTTATGACGGGGGGAGAGCCTAAATTTTTTATTATGAATTTTAAAATTCTATAAATAACACATTTTTACACAATGGAAGAATTTTTAATTTGTATTTTTTTTACTATAAAAAAATATATTTTATTTTACATTTTGTTTAAATTTTTTTCACTTATTTATATCTCTTGGAATTTACCAATTCAACCTGTTTCCGATTCATCATTTAAATAAAATTTAGATAATAATTTTAATAAAGGAATTAAAATAAATGGGAATTCGTCAATTCATATCTGATTTTCAACTTGTTTTACGAAAA